AACTGTCTTAAGTACGTAGAAAAACGTTCCGTAAGCGAATACTAGACAATAATTCGGATTCACTCGCGCAGCAGCCCAAGGTAATTGGGACATGTACTGCATAAGCCCAATCACCGTCTGCCAAAAAAACGTTTCCCACTCTGCACGAATTTCGTGGGGGGACAAGCCGTAACGTGACAACTCGAAATGAAAGTGGCAACTGTCAAGTTGGACGCTTCGGGATCTCCGCGTTTCCCAATTGGGGTCTACGTGATACTCCTTGCACATGATTAGACGTAGCTGATACCAGAAGCGCTTTTGCTGGTCCTTCCCACATAAGGCAGAGGATCAACCCCACTAATAGTACCTTGCGCCGAAATGATGCTCGCGTGTGTTTATCTCAATGTTTTTGGAAAGTGTGCGCACCTCTTTGCTTTCTTCAGAGACAGAGAGCTTTTCCCCATACGTTTCCACCGCTCCGCTTCCGTTTCACTGTTTACTAGGGCCTATTTGCTCCATCGTCATATGACAGGCACCAGTTTCCACTAGTGGTGCATTGCTGTCTAAGATGAGAGAGAGACACCGCTTCCTCACTGATTTAAAAAAATACAGTTTGACCTCTGCTTAAGAGAGTCTGTTTGATGTTCTGTGTTTATGTAAAACGTTCGCTTGCGGAGCTGTGACTCCGAATTTTTCGGCTTTCAACACTTCTAAACTTGATCATAGTGATCCGCAGTGTATTGCGCACAGTAGAAACACTTGCTTCCTTCCTATAAGCACTCCCGACCATATGTGTCTGCGTTTAGTCGATCAATAATCAGGGCGGTTTTATTGAATCGATAACAGTCGCGCAACTGTCTTGTCGATGTATCCACATCTTTGCTTATTAACACAAATATCTGGAAAAACCGAATGGTAATCTCACGATGCCCAAAACAGGCAGCTGTGTTTTCTTTTGACATACAATGCCCTTAGTGCCCGTTTTAATGTGTTTTGCCATGGATGCTAATCGATTATTATCCAAAGAATCCTTCGCATGGTTACAGCTTCTTGGATTTATCGGGCAGGAATTCCCGTCATTAAGCAAGATTATCGTAAAAGTCACTATGAGCGCTGTTCCAATGTAGTGTATCATGTGCTTATGATATGATACAATCCTAACAGTAACCCACATGTCATAAACCAGTGTTATCAGGCACCGCAGCCTGTTCTTGTCACGTGACAATCATCTCAACGACTCCGCACATCCGACCAAGGTTGTCTGTTCCCGATCGGCTCACAATACACCCGGCGAGCATCGGTTCCATATCCTAATCTTGTTTTCCCACCCTAAGGTTCGCATCTGAGCATTTTTCACTATTTTAATCTCTCTATTGTGTTTTTCTAGGTTTAGATTAGTTGTACGCCTGTTTGTTCACGACTTTTCTGGCAATGATATCCGATCTCTGACCTCGAGAAAGCTCAGGCGCTAGCTTACTGACCGAAAAGTCCGTGGTTCGACTGCTCCTGTCTAGACTTGGCTAATCTGGCAGTCTTTCGGTCCTTGTACTTCCTTTGGGTGGCGTGGCAGCTGGGCCCCGAAGGAGTGCTACAGCCCATCGAATTTCATCCGAATCAACCCGCTCTTTCGATTGGTGTAGCATTATCAAGCCCCTTGTCTGTATCCTTAGTGTTAGACGACCGTACTCATTTCGGCTGACAGACTGCATTTCAATACTGATATTTTCAAGGTCATATAGCTCGAATCAAAACTGCTATGGGATCTCTCGGTCGACGTTTTACCTTTGTCTCGTGGTCCGCGTCCAAACAACCCAGCTGAAAGAGGTAGTCTCAAGGCCGCTTGGCTGCGATCGATTCTTGCCGCTCAAAGATACCGCGCAGAATACATCAAATTCATGTACTTTGAGGCGGATAATTCCCAGCTGCTTCCAAATACCTTTGTCCTTGTTACTTAAATTCAGAATAGGATATTCCGAGCTCACCTGGCCGATTTATCGTTCCGTCTTTACGGAATGTAAGGACAAATACTAAATAGGAAGGGAGATTGGACGAATCCAACCATTTATGTCTGCAACTATCCAGTAGCTGGATTTCGGTACCATCAACAGGCCCAACATATTTACCAACACTGTTGTGTGTGTGGGACTTCAATCGATCTTTGGACCCAATAATGAGGCCTTAAACCGTTAGAACATCAATGCTTCGGATGTCGTTCTGGCGTAAACAGGCGTTAGCAGCTGCAGGCCAACTGCCGCGCCCACGGATGGTGGCTGGGCGCTGTTACACACGTGGCCTACCTTGTTTTTAGTTTGACCTGAAAAATGTGGTATGCTGTTCTCGGTCCATAAGGCTATGTTATTGTTCATTCATTGCAGACAAAGACATCTGGGACATAAATAGACCATGTGCAACAAGGTAGGCTTCAAAAGTACAATCTATACACAGTTCGTGACATGCGAAGAGCAAATTCATATTTGCGAAATGCATGCTGTACGTAACCGACCCGAAAGGATTCTGACTGTCCTGTGTTTTTGGCATCTCAACAAAGACACTTATTCTCTATACTTTGGTTTCCTGTTCAGCAACCCCACCCTTCGGTGCCCAACTGCCATTCCGCCCATAGGGAGCACGAAAGCTGGAATACTGAAAGGTTGCCCAAGCCTAGACAGGGTAAGTCGAGGTCAGGTTCGAACCACGGACCTTCTGGTCAGTAAATTCGCGCTCTAACCACTGAGCTGTCAAGCCTGAACCACTATTTGGAGGCGCTTGCAACACGGATGGGCGGGATAGTTCAGGTTGACTGACCATGGTGCAGACGACTGATTTAATGGCCTTATCATTTAGTGATCGAGACGTTATGATTACATCAATGGTATACCCGGTCATCGGGAGGGGGCGCGTTGAATGAACGTGACAGAGTTACCAGGTCGCATTATTTCCCGAATGGTTGCTGTGGGTCGGGGTATGGTTTCCCGCGTGAGAGAACATAGCCGTGCACTGTATCTGCTACCGAGTTACCCCAGTCCTATGCTTGACATGTGTGGATAGGAATTTCTTCAACACAGAGGTAGTTCATTGGTTAAGGCGCGAAGTTACTGACCGGAAGTGGTCCGTGTTTCGAACCCAACATCGGCATCTCGACTGCTCCTGCACCCTGATGGTCTTTCAGGCCTCGTGCTTTCTTTGGGTGACATAGCACCGGAGAGGGAGGTGTTACAGCCCAACGATTAGTAGTACTGGAATGTCTATGAAAGCCTTCATACTGCCTATGAGGAAGGGTAGGGCAGTGGCAGATTCGGGCGCGATGTTTACCTGCATCATCATGTGTCGATTTCACAGTCAGGACCAGCCCAAGTCCAATGGCACTACTGAGAAATGCTACCGATGACGGAACACAAGGAAGTGTAGTAATCAACACAGACTTGTCATTCTTCGCAAGAGAGTACATGTAGTTTTAGAATTTTTCCGGACAATTATGTGAAAATAAACACGATTTTGCCTATAATCTGTTTACAACCAAGAATGTTACAAACACTCAGTTGGTTGAAGGGTTTCTTGAAGGTATTCTAGTGGGGCTTGAAGTTTTCCATCAAGGAGGGATGTATGCATCGCGCGTGATATTATAGGTTGCTGACAAACTGTGTTTCAATCAGAATTGGCCCTGGTCAACCCCATCAAAGTGGTTCTTTGTACCGTTGTTCCAGTTTCAACTCAGTATTTCTTTTTCTAGTTGCTTCGCATAATCTCAGTGTCATTAACATCGCCAATTCGCCAATCCCAACATCTTCTCTCTTCATCTAGCAACCAGTCCTTTCGGAGGAAAGTCCCGTTTTTCAGTATCACAGTCATGTTCAAGTTCCCGTTCCTTGAGAGCTGGAATACTGCCAGGTTGCCCAAGCCTAGACAGGGTAAGTCGAGGTCAGGTTCGAACCACGGACCTTCTGGTCAGTAAATTCGCGCTCTAACCACTGAGCTGTCAAGCCTGAACCACTATTTGGAGGCGCTTGCAACACGGATGGGCGGGATAGTTCAGGTTGACTGACCATGGTGCAGACGACTGATTTAATGGCCTTATCATTTAGTGATCGAGACGTTATGATTGCATCAATGGTATACCCGGTCATCGGGAGGGGGCGCGTTGAATGAACGTGACAGAGTTACCAGGTCGCATTATTTCCCGAATGGTTGCTGTGGGTCGGGGTATGGTTTCCCGCGTGAGAGAACATAGCCGTGCACTGTATCTGCTACCGAGTTACCCCAGTCCTATGCTTGACATGTGTGGATAGGAATTTCTTCAACACAGAGGTAGTTCATTGGTTAAGGCGCGAAGTTACTGACCGGAAGTGGTCCGTGTTTCGAACCCAACATCGGCATCTCGACTGCTCCTGCACCCTGATGGTCTTTCAGGCCTCGTGCTTTCTTTGGGCGACATAGCACCGGAGAGGGAGGTGTTACAGCCCAACGATTAGTAGTACTGGAATGTCTATGAAAGCCTTCATACTGCCTATGAGGAAGGGTAGGGCAGTGGCAGATTCGGGCGCGATGTTTACCTGCATCATCATGTGTCGATTTCACAGTCAGGACCAGCCCAAGTCCAATGGCACTACTGAGAAATGCTACCGATGACGGAACACAAGGAAGTGTAGTAATCAACACAGACTTGTCATTCTTCGCAAGAGAGTACATGTAGTTTTAGAATTTTTCCGGACAATTATGTGAAAATAAACACGCTTTTGCCTATAATCTGTTTACAACCAAGAATGTTACAAACACTCAGTTGGTTGAAGGGTTTCTTGAAGGTATTCTAGTGGGGCTTGAAGTTTTCCATCAAGGAGGGATGTATGCATCGCGCGTGATATTATAGGTTGCTGACAAACTGTGTTTCAATCAGAATTGGCCCTAGGTCGCATTATTTCCCGAATGGTTTCAACTCAGTTTTTCTTTTTCTAGTTGCTTCGCATAATCTCAGGGTCATTAACATCGCCAATTCGCCAATCCCAACATCTTCTCTCTTCATCTAGCAACCAGTCCTTTCGGAGGAAAGTCCCGTTTTTCAGTATCACAGTCATGTTCAAGTTCCCGTTCCTTGGGCCCACATGTGGGGGTCTTTCCGCTTTGAGCGTCCCAATGGGTCTACAATGGATGCCAAGATTCCTTCGTTTCCTCTCTGCGACCGCGCCTATTGGTCCAACAGCGAGGAGCACTCGATGGAATAGTTTTTGTGTCAAAATGCCCCATCACCTGCCCTGTACATAGTCAGCCTCCCTTTCACTCCACCGGGAGCACTTGATTTCCCGGTTTTCACCTGCTTACTCTAATCAGTTGTTCGTCAGTTTGAAGACTTTTTATGGCCATTATTTTCAATTTTGGATTTTCACTTCCGGTTGCTGTTTTCTTCATCCTCACGGTAACCATGTAATCACAGCTGTTACCTAATTGTTTACCCCAGTAAATTCCGATTGCTCTGTCCAGTTTATGACTTGTTTTGCCTGACTGGGCGAGATGGCCAAAGTGGCTAGAGCGCAGATTTACTGACCGGAGGGTACGTGGTTCGAACCCGACCTCTGACTCTCGACTCCCCTGTCTAGGCTTGGATAACCTGGCAGTATCCCAGCCCTCGTGCGACCTTCGGGTGGCATGGCAACTAGACATCGAAAGGGTGCTACAGCTGAGCGATTTTATTTTGCCTGACATTCCAGGAACCCTCGACCCCTCAACCGGCTAGCAGGCGATGTACGCCCTGGATATTAGGCACTACACACAAAAAGTTGATAGATGGTACGGCATTCGTCCGTTTTTGCCACGGGGAGACGGACCCCCAGGTCATCTGTCAAGCAGGTGAACGACAAAGCCTAAAATCCCATCCACGTAGCAGTTATTGTTGATACGCTCGTGATGTGTGCTTTCTTATCCTTGAGTGTCGGGTTTTTTCTGGATTTTGTTTCCCAATGGGACTTCGGGTTGCGACGTATGTGTATTTGTTCAACTGCTCCTGACGTTCCCCATGTATTTGGCTCCAATAGTGGACATTGTCATGATACATTTTGCCGACAGACCCCATCAAACCAGTAGTTATTCTATTCCGATGCTCCTGTATAGATACTGTTGGTCTCTTCAAATAGTCTGATTTGTCTGCAACAACGGCTGCCTCCGTCACAGTATGACTGTGGCGTTACCAGATGAATGTGATTGTACTTTGAGTGAACGGTCATCCTAACTTCCGGTGCGCTTTTAACCAACCAAAGTAGTCCAGGAGGCGCATTTTCTGTAGCAGTCTTCCGAACTCTACTTATCCCTTAATGTGCGTAAAGACATGCGTTCTACCCACACCTGGAAAAAACCTATTCATCGGCTAGCAGGTCAAGTCCGAATAGGGTTGTAGTTCAGTCATAAGACGTGTCAATGGACCAGTTCGTTCGGGTTCATTCACTGGTCTACTACGTGATTATACTATTGGTCCTGAGATGGTTGGGTTGACTGTGCTTCCAAGGTGATGAACTTGTGAGCCCGACGCACGGTCAGCGTTCAAAGGGATCCATATTTTTGGCTGGATTGGGCCGAATCTAGCTGGAGTGCACACGCTGACGATAGCTTGAGCTGATTCGATTCGCAGTTGTTTTCTAAGGTGAACGGACCAGTGGCACCCTAATTGATCCAGCAACTGTCATTCGATTTGTGCTTCCGAAGTTCAACGACCCAGTTCCGTTTAAATTTGTTTCAATTCAGTTGGGCCCGCATGTCCATAAGGTTTGTTCTCCAGTTCGAGCATAGATCAAAACACCCACATGCGTCTCGAGTTATTTTATGAGACAAACCCTGGGAGTGTTTACTCCATGTGGTGGAGCTTTCCGTTTTGTCACTCATGGTTTACTGCGCCTCAAAAAATTGTTGATGGATATGGGAAAATTCCTGGTGTTTGCATGAGATGATGGCCTGGATGATAAGCTACGGTTCTCCTTGATGTGCCATCCTTAGTCGTTCCATTCCTCAGAAGTACCCAGTTTCGATGGATGTTGAATTTCGGGATTCTTGAGAGTTCAACGGACAGCGCCTACCAGCCAACAAATATCGAAGCAGATTCTGATCAAAAACCACTCCAGAAGAGACTACAGTATTGTCAGTTCGTTGTTGGACGTACAGCCAAAGCAGAGAACATGGTCATCGATGAATGACCAATTCTTTCCAATTATTCTCCACAGCAGCATCAGGTTGTGAACCCTGGATTTTTCCAGGTTTACGCTGGTCGAGTTGAGCCTGAGTCGCAAATTTTAGGGGAATTTTCTTCCCGGTGTGTTTGCGACGCTTACAAATAACTTTATCGTTGTCCGTCACGCATGCTCCGGGAAGAAGTACTGAGATATTGCCTGCGGCCAACCCTCATCGCACAAAACTCACCGATCCCAACGTATTCTCAGCACTAGGAACTCCGGGAATTTCAGCTTTCTGTTTGCACCAAAGTCGGTTTTCATTATAGACTAAAAATGATGTAAGTTTCATTTTATGGCAGTTAAACCCAAGTATGTGAAGCCTGTGATGCAGTTTTGCTTGAAACAGCACCAACTTGGCGAAATAAACTCTTGTGTTAATTACGCACACGCCTGAATTGTCTAGAAATTCCAATTCGGTATCTCAGAATCGCACCAGCCCAGACATGAAGAACCCGACCTCTGCCTCTTGACTTCCCCTGTCTAGGCTTGGGCGACCTGGCAGTATTCCCTCCTTTGTGGGGCACGGCAGCTAGGCACCGAAAGGGTGCTACACCTGAACGATATATATAGACATGAAGAATTCATAAACTAGCGCTGAATTTCAGCTGTGTCTCCCGTTGGTTGCTAGATGGACGTACTCCGTCAGCTGTGTACAATTTTATGTTGAGGTAGAACATAAGGCTGGCGAAAGCTGAGCGACTGCGCCCCAGCTGATGGGCCCCAAGAAGGACGAAACTGGTAGTACAACTTCAGAAACTTCACGAGTGTTGTGCTCAGCTAAGAAAAAAGTATACTGTTCTTCTGACAGCTGCTGCTGGAAGCCCATCTTAGTTGTTCGGTTGGTATTTGGGTTCGAAATATGGTACAAAGGATTAGAAACCCGGTTTTTTCTGTTTGTTTTCCAACGCTTTGACAATTTCCCTCAACTGATTTCGAAAAATGATGGGAATCGATAGGTCCATCTCGGTCGAGGAAGCGATTCATGAACTCATCAGTCCCTGATAAGTCGTCCAAGTGGGCCACCTATCGAATGCTCAGAGGTGTCTCGCGGAAAATCGCGCTCCGATCAGAAGGCGTCAGAATTTCCGAAATCTCGCCTCATACACTCTATAAACGACGCGTTGTACGTGTGTTTTTGACCTGGTTTCGGGAGCTAATACATGTGAAGAGCCTTGGTTGGTTGTTCGTGACGGAAACGCTAGCTTGGAATGCTCAGACCAAGAACTAAGCTGGCGAAATACCGTTATTACTCTGCAGCTGCGTGAGATTTAATATGAACTTTTATAGGTTCTACTGATGCTAACGTCGGCTCAACCACTAATTGACATGAGCAACAGACCGATAGGACGATTGTCCTGTGATCCGAAAACTCACGTGGTACATCAGCTTTGATCGGGCATCTGGGTAAGAAAGACTAGCTACGGCGACCAACCTTTGTCTAATGTTGGCAGCCACCTTTGAAAGGTAATCGCAAGAAAACTAGTTTCTTGGGGACGAACTGGTTGAAGTCTTATCCAGCCAGGTGTTTGTATGAAAGTGTGTGGACTAAGTAATTGTGGTAGAGTCTGTTCTGAACTTTCTTTTCTTGGTAGCTCATTGTCAGTGTAGAAGTTTCCGTACCTTAAGTGGGCCATGTATGAAAGCCAACGGGTGCAAAACTAACCAGGTGGTCAGTCCAAAGAGCTATTCATGGGGACATGGTTAGTAGAAGTAGAACGATCATTTTCTGCACAAGAGTGGTAACTCTCAGTAGTCGATCGTATGGGGACCCGTCGGTTAAAATTATGTCTCTGTTAAGATGAAGCATTTTAAGATCCTCGCTGGCCTTTCCTCAGTTGTTTGGCTTAGTTCGACAGTTTCAAATTACAGATGATTGGTGGGCTAATCATATTCCCTACAGATCTCGGTGGAGCATCCAGGTTATGTCCCCATATATTTCTTTTCAGTCTCAACGCGAAAGCACCCTTAGCCTAGGCAGAGATATTCCGGATACCGTTAGCTTTCGAAGGAGAGCTTTTGCCTTGTACTGTGACACTATATGAGCCCATTCTGGGATGCGCGTGACGAACACTCACGAGTGCTCTCAAGCCTAGCAAGCCTTTTCGTCTTCACTCTTTTCTACCAAATTGGTGTAGCTATATGTTATAACCAGTGATGACTGACCTTCTTTTGACCGAGTGTGGTCTCAGACCCCGGATTCCAGAGTATCATACCTCGGCAGCTTCTCGTGCAGTCTTGCACCTTGAATTCGTCCGTCCTCTGCACCGAGTACCATAGTGCTCCTCAAAACGGCCTGACCCAGGACGTACTTGGCCGCACACACAGACGTGCTCAGACCGTGAGTTTGTTGGTATTGAATGTGGGATCTGAAGTACCTTGGGTCATGGAATAATAAAAATAATAATAATCGTTCAGCTGTAACATCCGGTGCCTAGCTGCCATGCCACCCGGAGGAAGCAGGAGGGCTGGGATACTGCCAGGTCGCCCAGGCCTAGACAGGGGAAGTCGAGTGGCAGAGGTGGGATTCGAACCACGGACTTTCCGGTCAGTAAATTCGCGCTCTAACCAATTGGGCCATCTCGCCCCCCTTGGGTCATGGCGGGGGTCACAGATCCTGCGAACGTCATTCAGAGTCGGATGAAGGAAATCCGTATGCCAGTTGCCACTCAAGTCAGTTCCTGTTTGACCTTGCTTCAGTATACAAAGTCAAGCGGCAGTCATTCATTTGGACGGTAGATGAAAACTGCCCGCATGATTTTTGATACTACCTCCCAACTGTGATTGACCAGTCGGAGCGACATAATCCATGAAATATGAGTGGAGGTGTGCTCAGACTGGGAGTGCGTGCACGTCACCCAGGTCGACTTTGAACGATCACTGATCTTTCGGGTCACCCAGACGATAAATTCTCGGTTGTAGTAGACCTCGTATCACTCCATGAATGCATAACAACTATACAGTTCCTAACATAACGTACTGATTGCGTCTACAATCAAAATGCCCAACTTAGCGGTCGACTTTTATGATAAACTGTCTATTGGAAGCGGTACCAGGATTAATGATTTCTTGCAATTGGACACTTGGTGGAAGACTGTAGAACCGCGGCAGGAAGTTCTTCCGTGGTCGTTCGTTTTCATGAAAAATCTCGTTAAGAACAAACGCATCTTCCCATGCATCTGTTCCAGTTGATCCGGTTTCCAGCTTCTTCACACCGCCAACCTCTAGTAACTGCCGAGAACCGATAGGTTGAGTAATAA